CGCGAGGCTCGGTTGGCATCTCTTCTCATGGCACGGAACCTCGCAAAATGGTACCAACACTTCCATGCACTAGCGAGACATGTGGATGCCGTCTGCCTGTAGTACTTGCCCTGGTTCAGATGCAGCCACCTGCTTAGAACGGCTCGTTCCACCTCCTCATGCGAGTAAGAAAGGGTGTACAGGGGTACGGTTACAGCAATGGAGAATCACATGGAAGAATGGACATGAAATAGGGCTTAGGGATGTACAGGGGTTGTTTCGGTCGATGCTAAATGCCTGGCATGTCCTAGTAGACCATAGTAACATAATTAAACCCAAACCCCTAAATTCCCAGGCTGAGGATATGTAGGGTCGCCAAGCAGGTTTAGTATTCCCCGTGCCTCATGTCGATTTTCAGGTCATTGAGGCTTCAGCAAATTGGGCTTGAACAGCTCAAGATTTGTTTCTGACTGCAAGGATCACGGATCACCAGCGAGGCGCTGCCAACTTGAAAGCAGCAGCATGGATGAATTCGGGTGTGCATCTTGGATGACGGCCGCCTTTCACCAGAAGACGTCCTTCATCTTGCGCTTTGCCTCGTCTGATTCCAGAACTCGGGCCCCTGTAACCCAGGGAAATAAAGATATCCCAGTTTTGCAGAGGAACATGATGGAGACTAAGCCCCACGGGCCTGTTTGACATGCCCAAGTGCTGGCCGTATGCAAGAACAATGCGATTGTATGTAGAATATATGTGTATATGTATATATCTATATATGAGAACTTGTGCATATGTAGATGTATGTGTATGTGTAGATAAATAGACAGATAAATAGATCCATGGACAGACAGATAGATAGGTAAATAGATAGATATGAACCGTAAACCACAAACCCAAAACCCTCAACCACTGATGAAAGGAACATGTAATTCATTGAGATTTCAGGCTAGACGATAGAACAAACCAGCTTGTGCAGCATGTTTCCCATCACCACTGTGTTCTCAGGACCGCCATATCAAGTTCGGACTTGTAGCTAAGGGTTTAGGGACAATGTTTTCTCAGGACCGCCATATCAAGGACAAATCAACAGCCTGTACCGTAGCCTTAAAGTCAGAGCTTTCTTACTTGGAGGGCCACAAAAGGCTTAGTCAGTATACATATATATGCCCTAACAATCATACCGTAACCCCAGGTGTCAACATTATTAGCACAGTTCCTGAGCCGCCATGACCCTCCAAGTAGCAGAGACCCTGCAACCCTTGAAGTTCCCCAGAAGTGCTGTTACCCCTGAACCCTAAACCCTCAAGCCCGTATAAACTTACCACTACTTAGGGTACCCAAATTTCCTTAGTTTTAAGAGTTCAAAGCTTCAAGACCAAAATGACCCCCCCCCCCCAAACCCCAAGTAATGGTAATAAGCCGCGTACCAACTTAATGGCGCCTTTTGAGAGTTTTTGTTAGGATTACATCTTAGCTTGTTGGAGGAAAGAGGTCTGAAACAATAAGGTCACTAGTTTGTTGAGGAATACACTCTAGGTGCCGCTTCACTTCAGAAGATGATTCAAGCCGTATGAGCTATAGTGTACACTCCTAGTATCACCCTTTTCGGAACCCTATATAATGGCGTGTATGACCCCCTTCAGCAGTTAAGAACCTAAACTACCCTAAACCCTAACACCCTATACAACCCTTAGACTAAACCTCATATTCCCTAATGAAGAGGTTTCGGAAGTTAGGGGACCGCGCTACCGGGGTTGCTGGGCCAGTACTTACTTCAGCCTAATAATTCGAATTGTAAAGGAGGAAGCCCTAAGGGGACCCCATTTATGGGGGACTCCGGAACACCTAAACCCTGAACCCTAAACCTTGAAACCTAAACCCTGAACCCTAAAAACCTGAAACCCTAGACCCTCAGACCACCTGGGAAGAGGAATCTTTAGTTCTGGGTCTCTCATTTATGGAGCCACGCTTAAGGATTCTTTCAAAACAGATCTTGCGGTAGGCAGTACTGCGGTCATATGAACTCTAATTCGTGTAAGCTCCTTAACGGAGATTATCTAGGGGACTATGACACGGGTTATTAAGGGGGTTACTAGGAATTTAGACTATCCCCGAAACCCTCAACCCCAAACCCCTAAACCCTAAACCTTAAGGGGGATACTAGGAGCTTAGCCCTAGGGCTCCAGTTACCTAAATAGTAGGTTACTGGGCTATGTAACTATAGGGTACATAGAACCCAGTTCCATTTTTTAGGCAACTGGAGCAATAGGGTAGGCTATAGCTTATATGAACTTTGCAGCGGAAGAAGATTACCTAGAGTTCAGGCTGCCGCAGTACAACTACGCGGCAGGCAAGCTCCTAACAAACAATATCCTTAACCCCAAAGACCGAAACCCTAAACCCAAGCCTTGAACCCGAAATCCTAGACCTTTGCCCTAAATCCTGAACTTCCCTAAACCTATGCCTGAAGTCCAGAACCCAAATCCTACAAGCTCCAAGCCCAAAGCGTCGACCTAAACCCCAACCCAGACCCCTGGGAGGANNATCTACTTTCTAGATGCGCCCAGGGATCTGGGAAACCGTATGCGCCGTGAACGCAAACCTCAGGGTCCTCAAGGTCCAAGTAGGTAACACTCACATACTTCTCTGGAACCTGTGCTTTAGCTACAAAAAATCCCAACTCCAAGTATTCGGTCTAGGGTTTAAGTGTTTAGGGTTATGTTAGGGAGTTGAGCTCGGGGTCTTGGGTTTTTTTCACTCCGGAGGCATTGCGTGAAGTGCTTCTTTTTTCCAGAAAGGACCCTTAGAGACCCCGGGGGTATGCGGGAGGTTACGCAGGAGACAGAGAATTGCACTTGAGGATTGTAATACAAAGATTTTGTTGAGAACAAAACCTGGGTCTATAGCACTTAAAATGTCTATCCATGTATAGAGTATACTGTGTACGCAGTATTCCACCAAAAGTGCCAAAAGCGCAACTCAGCCAAAATTGTTGGGGGCGTATGGGTCTCGGTTTCGGGAAGGTTTGTATCCGAGAGCTCCCCGCCCCATGGCTCAACAATCCGGAAACACGGTTTAGGGTTTAGGG